CCCCTCCCGGGGGGCCCCCCCCCGCCGCCGCCGCCGCCTCCTCCCCCTCCCACAAAAGCAACGGCCAGTCGGCGGCTGTTCCAGAAATTTCCTCACTCCCCCTCCCTTCCTTCCTCGCGTCTGCCTGCCGACGCCCCTAACCCCCCTCCGGGTAGGTTACGGTGTGGACGCCCCCGCCCCGCTATTCCGTGTGGCGGGCTCGCCTCCCCCAAACTCTGCCCCACATCCCCGGGTCTGTTTCCGCGCCTGAGCCAAGACGGCCGACAGCGGCGGCGGGCGCGCCGTGATGGATGGCTGGCTGGCTAGGAGCAGGTTTGAGTGACAGCGCTTACCTGGGTGCCAATCTTCGTCACACTGACAAGCGGCTGCAGCAATCGGGACCCGCACCGCCGCGACGCGCGTCACGACGCACACACAGCCTTGTCCAATCCGGCGGCGCGCCACGCTTCACGACAACACGCTCCGCGAGACGTCTCATCAATATTCAGCGAGGGAGCGGGGCGCGTCGTCGTGGTAGATACGCCCACCGCGACGCACGCCTTGGTGGAGGGGTGGAGCGGCGGCAGGCACCGCCCCTTCGAGGCTGGGCGCGCGACCGTGCCAGGCTTATGAATACGCATAAGGTGGGCGGGGGAGCGTCACACACTTATGTCAGGCGACCTTTCCCACCTGCCTTAAGCAAGGTGTGAAGGGACGAGAAGGTGGGAGAGCGGCTCGCCTGCGGCACGCGGGGGCGGCCGCGGCGGCCCTCGGAGTCCCTCAGCCCGGCCGACCCCCCACCTGTGACGTCATGCAGTTATCTGATGGTTTGCAGCTGCTTTTTCGTTCCACAGGAGATGGCCGGGTGGCTCCCGAAAGGCAGGGGTTGTAACGTAGCCTTTAACCGCGGATGAAGCGGTTACCGAGCACTTTAGTGTTGTTATTATTTCAATGTTTAATAACTGGGAAAAAAAATCTTAGCTGCCAGTAGTGCCTTATCCCTTTTTATCTCCTCACTTGGACTCCGTAAACACTGAATGAGACATGCCCGCATCCTTTCCTTTGAGTAAAAAAAAAGATAAGCGAAAAGAGACAGACATCTCGAATTATTTTCCTCTTCCTTAATAGTTTTAAATTTTGGGTTCAAGTGATGGAAAGAAACCCGTTCTCCGGTAACCATCTGCAACGTGGGCTTCTGTGGCATCACCTCAGTCGTGTCCTTTGCCCTTCTTTTCGATCTTTTTTATGTTAGTTGGAAAGTCAACCCACTCAATTCTGGTGCCTGTTTATGAACATTATTTCGTCTTCTAATCATTGGAAGGAAATTGATACTTTTTTTCAGGTGTACGAATGTATAAATAATGGCAAAACAGCGTACTCGAAAGTCTTTTGAATGATGCACAAACTGAACAAAAATAGGTATATACTCACACAGAATCTACAAACCTTGTAATGGCGCTTCTGTAATCTATACTGATGATTATCAGAATATTCAAAAGAGAAACTCCAAATATGAAATAGAGTAATATGGGTTATTAGCCTATAATATAATGGCTGAAGTCCTGTGTAGTAAGTTACAACTAGAGTAGGCCTACTGAATCAGTGAAATGGAGTTGGCTCACCAAGTCCTGACTGATTCAATGAGCCTACTCTAGTTGGGACTTGCGAGGCAAAGCAAAAATGTTTGTTTCATCTATAGGCTGCCTTTCTCCCCATAAGGGGACTCAAGATTCCAGCGACAGAATCAATAAAGGCTTTGAGTTTGCAAGAGCTGAGCAGGGCTGTTGACCATACAACGTTTCGGAGGTCACTAATTCATAAGGGTATCATAAATCTGAAGTGACTTGATGGTATAGAATAGTCTGACATAACTCAGAACTACCAAGCGCTTGTCAATCAGCTTAATGTTTTTGCACTTAATGACTGGCTCATTAACACTATGATCAGTTTGGGATAGTTGGACAGAACAGTGTGTTCCTAACAGACTCGTTATTTAAAAAAACAACTAAAAGTGAGAATTCTACAGTTACTTGGAGTATTCCTATGTAAATATTTAATATACAGTGGTGCCTCGCTTAGCGAATGCTTCGCTATGCGATGAATTCGCATAGCGAGGGGGTCCGGGCCATCGCTGGAGCGTTCGCTCAGCGATGGCCCCTATGGCGATTTTTCGCTTTGCGATGATATTCCTATGTAAATATTTAATATACTTGCATCTGCCCTTAAGAAGATGATGTTGGAAACAACTTTCAGAATCCTCTCCTCAGGCCCTGAAATATGGGCAAAGATGAGACCAAAAGAAAGAACAAAAAATGAAGAATGTTTATATCGGTTGTGTTGAATTGTGTAATCTTGTGCTTTTCAGTTCTTGGTAAAATTTTATTTGTCTACTTACCTAATCTTCTGGGTGTATCAGATCAGTAGGCTGTTTCCTATAAAAACATTTTCATAGAATCACAGAAAAGTGAAATTGGAAGGGGCCTACAAGCTATCAAGTCCAACCCCCTGCTCAGTGCAGGAATACAATCAAAGCATATATGCCAGGTGATTATCTCAGTTTTTCTTGAATTCCTCCAGTGTTGGGAGCACGATCTTTTCGCATAGCGAAGGTTAATCCGGAACGGATTAACCTCGCTATGCGAGGCACCACTGTACTTGCATCTACCCTTAAGAAAATGATGTTGGAAACAACTTTCAGAATCCTCTCCTCAGGCCCTGAAATATGGGCAAAGATGAGACCAAAAAAAAAGAACAAAAAATGAAGAATGTTTATATCGGTTGTGTTGAATTGTGTAATCTTGTGCTTTTCAGTTCTTGGTAAAATTTTATTTGTCTACTTACCTAATCTTCTGGGTGTATCAGATCAGTAGGCTGTTTCCTATAAAAACATTTTCATAGAATCACAGAAAAGTGAAATTGGAAGGGGCCTACAAGCTATCAAGTCCAACCCCCTGCTCAGTGCAGGAATACAATCAAAGCATATATGCCAGGTGATTATCTCAGTTTTTCTTGAATTCCTCCAGTGTTGGGAGCACTCACCAACTCCTGAAGTAACTGGTTCCACTGTCATACTGCTCTAACAGTTAGGAAATTTTTTCCGATATTCAACCAAAATCTGGCTTCCTTTAACTTGAGCCCATTGTTGCGTGTCCTGCACTCTGGGATGATCAAGAACAGATCTTGCCCCTCCACTTCTTTCAGCTTTTCCACCTAAGGTTTGATTTCCAGCCCCCTGATCATCCTTGTTGCCCTCCTCTGAACTTGTTCTAATTTGTTCACATCCTTCCTGAAGGGTGGTGTCCAGAACTGGACACAATACTCAAGGTGAGGCCTAACCAGTGCTGAATAGAGAGGGACTAGCACCTTGTTGGATTTGGAAACTATACTTCTATTAATGCAGCCTAAAATAGCATTTGCCTTTTTTGTAACCATATCACACTGTTGACTCATATTTAGTTTCTGATCTACAACAATTCCAAGATCCGTCTAGCTTGTGGTTTTGCTGAGCCAGGTATCCCTCATCTTGTAACTGTGCAATTGGTTTCTTTTTCCTAGGTGCAGTACTTTGCACTTATCCCTGTTGAATTTCATTCTGTTGCTTTCAGCTCAGTGCTCAAGCCTATCAAGGTCATTTTGAATTTTGTTTTTGTCTTCTAGGGTATTATCTGTTACACCCAATTTTGTATCATCTGCAAATCTGACGAGCATTCCCTGCACTCCCTCATCCAACTAATTAATGAAAATATTGAAGAGCACCGGGCCCAGGACTGAGCCTGGGGTACTCCACTTGTTACCTCCTCCCAGTTAGAGAAGGAGCGATTAATCATCATCTGAGTACAATTCTGTAGCCAATTGTTTATCCACCTGACACTTGATCTATCCAGCCCACACCTAGTTAGCTTGCTAGTCAGAGTATCATGGGGCACTTTGTAAAAAGCTTTGCTGAAGCCAAGATATACTACATTTACAGCATTCCCTCTGTCTTTCAGGGGGATCAAAAAAGAAGAAGATCAAATTAGTTTGGAAGGATTTGTTCCTGATTGTTTTCTGCATTGTTGTTTTTTTATAGGTGCTTGCACAATGACCACTTTATGATCTGTTCCAGAATTTTGCCTGGAATTGATGTAGTTCCCAGGTTCCTCTTTGCCCTTTTTGAAGATAGGGACAATATTAGCCCTCCTCCAATCCTCTGGCACCTCACCCCTTTCCCATGATTTCAAGAAAAAAATGGATAGCGGTTCTGAGAGTTCTTCAGCCAGTTCCTTCAGTACTCTTGGATGCCGTTCATCTGGCCCTGGAGATTTGAACTCGTTCAAGGTGGTAAGGTATTCCTTGACTACAGTCAACCCTCGACTTACAAACCGCCCTAGTTAGAAACATTTCGACTTACAAACTTGGATTTTTAAAAGGTGTTCCCTCCCTCCTTTGCTGCCCCCTTTTGCCCAGAAGGTGCTTGTATTGGCTTGTCTTGATTGAAAATTACTTTAAATGGGTAGGAATGCGTGGAGAACTGTTACTCAATTACTGTTATATTTTGTACAGTATGGTTCTTTGGACACAGTGGAGAAAATTCAGTATTGCAGCTAGTAGCCAGGCCTTTGAATTAAATATGTAGACATTTCAGTCCACAATATTTTTTAAATTCTTTTTGAGTGTTGTGATGATGTAGGGAAAGAACAACTCCATAATTCTTCTACATGTGACACCTGTACCTATCTCTACCTATCTAAAGTGTTGGATCAGGTAGCATGTTTACAATGTAGATTTAAAAATAAGGACATAAAAGAAAGGCAGAACCCATTTTAAAATAACTCATTATTGGCTGAACTCCCAAACATCAAATGTCAGTCCAAATAAAAAAAAGGGCTGGCATTGCCCCTGGAAAATGCTTGGGCTCTGGCAAATCTCCAGAGGAAAGGAGATCAGAGACAGTTGCTGTGATTAACTCTCCAGGAGCCCTTGACCTTCATAGGTTTTGTAAAGCTGGCACTGCAATACGGTTCCTCAGTAATTCTAATCGTCAAAATGAAGAGCAGAGAAAATAAGAGAGATAAATATTGTTTCCATTTAGCTTAGCAGTTGTAAAATTCCCCATGATTAGACGAAGTACTAAAGTGGCGTTCGAAACTTATGCAGTCCTCCCAGAACCTGTGAGACGAAGAGTTTGTATAAAAATAAACAAGTAAATGGCCTTAAGTTACACAGTCCTGCTTTATTTCAGTCTTTTAAGCACTCCCATGTTTGGTTTTAATCAAAAATTAGAACCCCCATGTTTGTAAAGTTTTATAGCTTTGTGTAATAGATGGTGCTACCAGCTGCAGTTCGGCAGTGCCATCTTGATTGTAACATTCATGTCTAGTGATGAAGGACTGGATTCACGGATGCCTCTTTCTGCTCCAGAAGGATACCAGTCATAGAAGAATGAGTGTTTACTCGTTTACAGCAGTATTGTTTCACAGAGGCACTTAACTACATAAAAATTTATTTTTCATTTGCACCAGGCTTTGTGTAACCTTGTGAACAAGCAGAAGCACAAGAATACCTATGGAACCTG